TAAAGTAATTGAGAAGCGAGTTAAACGTGTTGGCCCTAAGGTTCAATTAGCGAGTTTCGGCGTCCGCGATTATCGTTTAACGAACACTGGAGAATAAGGTATCGCAAATGTTCCCGAGGGTGCGATGAGGCGGTCGCGTGTAGTCGAAACGAGGAAATCATTATGGCTGCGGCTCGATTCGTATTTCCTGGTAGTGAAACGTCTTCGCGACGGACACCGTGCACAGAGACGTGATCGAAATTAGGGAGGGTCGCGGACAGGTAATGGAATCGAACGAAATTGCGTCGGATATGAGGCGCTCGTATCGAACGTATCGCCGTGACGACGTTACCGAGGCCATCCTTATCGCGTTCCGAACCCGACGAAGACATTAACCTATCAACTTCCAATGTCGCCATTCGGAGCTCTAACCACCCTTCTTTTATTTTAATATCTCTCGCGTTTTCTCCAAGTAGTCACGTCTCAGTTGACTATATACAATTGGAGAAAAGTATAATCTAAAAGCAATTTTGATTATATTGATTGTACGAGACAATTTTTGCGAGTTGCTTTGGAAGAACCAGGATAAGAAGAAGAATTTGTTTGTCGAACCGAAAATTGTTCGTGCTAAAAATTAAAATAGAAGTATTGCAGCCTTAATCTGCCGCTGAAGCTATTAATTATTTAAAGGACTTAAATAATTAAATCACTCGATTTAATACTACTAAATTTTACTGAATTCATATCCGAAATAAAATTTGCCGACATGCATCGTTTTATAGCAGTAATTCATATCATACATCACTCGTTCATTAAAAGTGGTAAGTGTCCGCATATTTATCGACGGTGATGTACACAAAAAAGTTTAGCTAATATTGCGGTATTAAGTAAAATCATCGACTGAACGTTGTTCAATTCTACGAGAAAAGCATCCTGTCCATTCGCGACAGACTGAGCATTGGTACGTTCGGAAAGATCCGCTGGATCCTTTGATCGCCGGGTCGATTGAAACGAGCCGTAGTGCGAGATAAAAACTTGTGTCACTATCGAGGGTGGAAAAAAAGCGCCGGTCAGAGAGAGGTGGTCCGCGCGAGCACTACAAAACCGGCGAAAAACTACAGAATTAGATAAAAATCGTCGGCAGAACGAGGGGTAGAGGGTTGACAGTTTACGGGGTGAGGCGTTTCCCGTTCAGACCCGTTTCACGGAAGGTATCATCGGAAGGCTATCGATCGGCTCGGCCGTCGCGTTGCTCGAACAAAAACCGAGCCGGTTTGCTTGTCTGAATATCGACCGATTCCGCGCGGAATCACGGAATTGCGGGACGGCGTTGAATCTTCTCCGGGAAAATCGACGGGAAACGTTAACATTCGCGAAAGGTATCTCGGCGGAAGGCTGCTATCGATCCGGGGGACGAGCCGACGTCGAGCAAAAAGCCGGCGTTCGTTCCCTCGTCGTTGGGGACTATCGACCGAATTGTCGACTATCCTACGGAATTACGAGACGCCGACGACGTCGAGGGAAACGCGGACGTCGAAACGGAGGAGAAGAATGGTCGCCGGCGAGCGTCCGGAAACGGCGAGCGCCGGAAACAGACGGAAACGGGCGGAAACGCGGCGAGTTCATCGCGATATAACGCGGTCGCATTCATTATTGCTCGTAGTTTGTTGCCAATTACCCGAAGTGTCCAGCGACGTCGCGTTCCAGACGAGGTGAGCCGTGTCATCGGGTAATATCTGCGCGCAGCTCGCGCCGCGGACGCACCGACACGTACACACACGCGGCCCCGTGTATGCACCGGTGCATATGTGCACCGGCACGCCGGACGTGGAAGAGGAGTGGCCGTGTGCTGCATCGGACAGCTCGCAACTGCGTACACACGTCGCGCACTCGTAATAATCGTTGTCCGAAACGTTGATTCGATTCGCTTTTTTCTTCCGCCGTTTATTGCTCGATTTCCCGTCGGAACTTTCCGTACGCGGCGATACCAGGCCCTTTCTCTACCCTTTGCATTCTTTCGATCGGCGAAGTTGTTGCCCTTCGTTTCATTCTTGGAACGCCAGTGATTCACGTTTTTCAAATTCTTACACACTGAAAGTTTCAGATTCTTGGCGCCCTTCCGCATCCCTATGACGTCTAATCTGCCACCTTTCTGCATTTCTAATGCACTTCGGACTGCTGCTGCTGTCTTTGCATTACATTATTCCAATTGCTATTCTCTTGGCATTTCAAATGGCCCTTCGCATTGCGATTCTCTTTGCTTTGAACTCGTGGCCCTTTTGTAGCCTCAAGATTTTTGTTACAATGTGACCCTTTTGAATACTCTTCCGTAACCTTCCGTATTTGCAGTGTCTTTGCAATAATAGCTGCTTGCATTCTCATGACCTTTGCAATTATGACCTTCTGCGCTACCACTTTGCGACCTTTCATGTTATTAATTCCCTGCTATTCCTGAACCTTCTGCTATCGCGACCGTTTGCATTCCCAAAGACCTTGGGAATAGTAGACCCTTGCATTCTTATTACCTTACCGTAGGGTATGATAAACTCCTTCGGTATTTATCCCTTTGTATGTCCAGGATTTCCAGAACCACATTTGGCAAGAGAACTCTTAAGAAATGCGACCCTTTCAGTAAAGATCTTGAAATATTATAGGGTCATCGAGAGTAATTTTGAAGATGAGCAAGATCTCAACCCACCGTTCATCCAATTGTAATTGACCAATTAAAGGTACACCATAGTTAGGTATCATAGACATAGTTATGGTAAATTAGAAAAACAAACAATGGTCGTCCACGACCTAGTTGGTACCACAACAACCGTTCTTTTAATTGGAATCAGAGTTGAGCAAAAAGTAATCTGATTAATGAATAATAATTATTATAACTAATTTATAATAATTTATAATAACTAACGAGTTATAATCATGAATCATTATTCTTTATACTTTTTAAATTAGTTATAACAACAAATGAGTTATAATCGTTAATCATTAATCAGCTTACATTTCTCCCAACTCTGCTTGAAATATTATACAACGAACCACACCTTCATCTACCCTCAAGACTGCCACAAGTATACTAAGCTAACTTTTGGTGTACCGAGTGCAATAATTGTTCCAAGGAATCCTTTTAAGCTGTTAAAAATCATTTATTGTTATTTCGATTTCACTCAACTACAGTCTTGGATCCACTCACCCATGCATTCACCCTCAAATTATTTAACAAAGAAAACACGACTCCTAATAAGTTCAATAATTCTTTACAACATTTCCATATCATCGCTATGAAATAACCGTGATTAAACTGTGCGCATTTTATGCATTTGACGTAAAACTAAATGTCCATTTTATCCCTGCATCCGATTTTTCATTCCGCATAAAAATGCTGAGCCCACTCCTAACATTTTTAATGTTCCACGAAGCACTCCCCCAAGCCTCCGCGAAACGAATCTTTCGTTTTAACGCTGGGTCAAAAATGGCCGTTTTCTGGTGCTTCGCTGCAAGTTAAGAGCCCGTTTCCGCGTGTTCATCGTGATACTTCGACGACCCGGTTTTTCGCGGCCGCGAGCGGCGTGCGCGCGCGCGCGCCTGCAACTCAATGTTTATCGAAGGAATAAAAAAGGAAGGAAACGGCGCGGCGCAGAGCGGCGGAGAGAAATATACGCAACGAGGAAAAGTTTCTCGATAACGGCGCCAGCGTAATCTTAACGGGACGTACACTCGCTCTGCCTTTTCCAGCCTCTTTCGCAGCTTCGAGTCACCCCTCGGGGATATTCGACTAAATTATTCGCTTTCCTCGCGTCCGCCTTTCTCTTTCAACTGGGCAACGACAAAACGTTTTTCCTACGAACTTCCTGCATCGTCCCTCTCCTTCTCCCCCTCTCCCTCTCCCGCTCTCTCTCTTTCTTTCTTTCTCTCTTTTCTCACGAGTTTCTCGATTTCGAATCGTCCCGGACGAAATATTCCTCTCGAAAACGAAACGTTCTCTCTCCTATTTTCTCCACTCCTCTGCGCCCCTCTCCTCTCCTTCTCCGTCGACAATTCCGGCCGGAAACCGGGACAGTCTCTCATGCAAAAGTAAGTGGAAACTGCGAAATGAAATTTTTTCGCGCCAGACTCCCGCTTCACGGGAAATCGAATTTGAATATGCGTCCCGCACGCCAACGCGATTGAATCGCCTAAGCGGTGGCATGGATTCACGGTATGTGCGCGGTTTCGTTTTCGTTACATGCTCGTGCTTGGAACGGAACACGCGATGGCCGCCGAAAGTTCTCGAGTCGATGGATTTTCCACTTTAGATCCCGGAAGCGATGTCCGAAAGCTTTTTAACGCGGAGCACGCGGGAAATAATAGACTGCTCGGATTTGTCCTAGTTTACTTCGATTGCGGACAAACTATTTATCTGGACGAAAACTTTCTGGCTGTTTATATTTATTTCGCGGGAGTCGGTTCTTGTGAGCTTGGTTCCTTCAATCTCTTTTTAAGTGTCCTATAAAGTTACTGGAGTATGGTTACTTTCGGCTGGCCTCTGGCTTTACCTGCACAGTTCGCATAACTCATGCATACCGTAATTTCAAATATTAAATGTGTTCACGTTATTTTTATATTTAACAAGCTGCTAAAAATTCAGAACATCTTCGAGCGCAAATGATTAACACCCTGTAAGTGAGTTGAATCAAAGGCGACATTCAATCGAGGACAAGAGAAATCTGTAACAAGAAACGTTGTTAAAAGGCTTGCTCTTGGCTCGAATGATCCCGATCCGTGTGCAAGTATTAAAACCTTTTGTACATTCAATCATAATTACCTACAAATGTTCCACTGCTTCTGCTATTAAGGATAATTAAAAATCTTAACTTCAGCGTTAAATATATTCGAAATCATTATTCGTGCTATTTCTTATTATCCTGCGATATCTTTTCTTTAACTTTGTACTACATACTTCTGTTTGCTTTACATTGCCGTCTCTTTCTGTTACAGCATTACCGGTAAAACAATAAATAAATTAAATTCTTGAAAAATAGCAAAGCAGCGCGCTACAGGATACTGTTTCTTCAAACAATTACAACTTGATTTACATTTCTGACATCCGAATATGAGGTGGAACGTGAAATGCAACTGTGACGTGCAATGACCTCGATCTTAGTGAACACAATAGAGAATTAAATTTCAGAACGCATGAAAGGACTCATTATGCGCTGTGCACTTCCTAGGGCAGTTTGGAACATAAATCAGCGTGGAAAGAGAGGAGGACGAAATTTTTGAGAGAATATTCAGCAAACAGTCGCCCCTCGGGAACCCGGCACCCCCGATCCGCGAGTTCCACGCAAAGCGATCCGCTCGCTGCCAGTTAGAAGCCTAACTATCTCCGACGTTTAATCGTTAAACCGCCCGCCGCGCGTAAACTCTCGTGTTCCCCGCACCTGACGAACTGCAAACTGGTTCCAGTTCGCAGCTCGAACCCTCTGGGTTCACCGGCGAAACGTCGAGTTTCCCTCGTTAACGTTTTTAACGGAGCGTAAGAGTTTCGCGGAGAGAAAAGAGAGAGAGAGAGAGCAAGAGAGAGAGAGAGAGAGGAAGAGAGGGAGAGGCCGGTATTGCAATCGGATACAAGCCGTCAACGACGAACAAACGATCCTCGACGGATTTTAGGTGGGAAAGGACGACGCGGCCCTTTTGACGAACAAGATTACAGGCTGAGATCGTACATGTACAGAGTGTTCCCAAATTAAAAGACAAGAGACCCATGAACTAACGGTAAATTGATCTTCGGATATTTGTCCACTTTTACACTGCTTTGGAGAACATCGTTGGAAATACAAGACGTTTGTTCCTTTATTTTAGCAGTTGCATATGTATAAAGAGGCTATTCAAAGTGTCGACTCCGTGCAGAAATGCAAGCACTGCATCAAAGTTTCACAAATACACTCCAAAACTTGGTGCAAAACAAACATCGTTCGCACCAATCGCAAGCCACAGCAACTGCACAGACACATTCATCTTTTCCGTGAATAATTTTACTGAAATGAAAATAATAAAACAGTGTCTTCAAATTCCATATATGCATCCTTTCACCGAATAATTTAACCGAGATATAAATAATAAAATAATACTATCAAATTCAATATTTTTACTGTTCTGTATTCGATCTGCCCGTTTCTGTCCTAAATGTATACAATCCACCGGCCAGCTATAAATAAGTAGACGAACAAAATCTGTTATAAAACAGTTACATATTTTATCGATATTAACAAATAATGCCGCAACGATTCTACTATCTCCGTTTTTAAATGGGGAGATTTTGAAATCTCCCCTGCTTTAAAATAGGTCACATATGGGAATGCGGTCGATTTATGTGTATCATGTGACAGGAAATTTTGAAATAAAGGGAAGATAACACTTGGGACCGCAAAGGGTGAACGATCCCGCACACGTTCTCGAAGTTTTGACATTTAATTTGTGGACACCCCGTGTATATCTGTCTCCGACGATGTGAGTGCGCGGATCCGCGCGCGCGCGCCCGCGCTAATACCAGCTTGATTCTGGCGTGCACGTAGACGCACGCACTCATAGCGAGGGAGAAGCGATGACCGGCTGGCTGCGACAGGCTGCAACTGCAACTGAAACTGCGCCGGTCATCCCAGCCATCCGGTGCACCTGCACCGGATCTCGGACGAGCCACTACGTGCACGCCGCCTCCTACGCCCACGTAAGTTGATGATCACGACGGGATTCGCGATCCGCCGCAAGCTTCACCCCCTGATCCATCGATACCCACAGTTTCGCCACTCGGATTCAGTCTGACCGACTCCGTAAACATGGAGAAAGCTGACGATGTTGCATAAGTGATTTTTCAAGAATGAAATTTGGTAATTGCAAGGTTCGCGTAGTGATTAATTGACANATGCAACTGTGACGTGCAATGACCTCGATCTTAGTGAACACAATAGAGAATTAAATTTCAGAACGCATGAAAGGACTCATTATGCGCTGTGCACTTCCTAGGGCAGTTTGGAACATAAATCAGCGTGGAAAGAGAGGAGGACGAAATTTTTGAGAGAATATTCAGCAAACAGTCGCCCCTCGGGAACCCGGCACCCCCGATCCGCGAGTTCCACGCAAAGCGATCCGCTCGCTGCCAGTTAGAAGCCTAACTATCTCCGACGTTTAATCGTTAAACCGCCCGCCGCGCGTAAACTCTCGTGTTCCCCGCACCTGACGAACTGCAAACTGGTTCCAGTTCGCAGCTCGAACCCTCTGGGTTCACCGGCGAAACGTCGAGTTTCCCTCGTTAACGTTTTTAACGGAGCGTAAGAGTTTCGCGGAGAGAAAAGAGAGAGAGAGAGAGCAAGAGAGAGAGAGAGAGAGGAAGAGAGGGAGAGGCCGGTATTGCAATCGGATACAAGCCGTCAACGACGAACAAACGATCCTCGACGGATTTTAGGTGGGAAAGGACGACGCGGCCCTTTTGACGAACAAGATTACAGGCTGAGATCGTACATGTACAGAGTGTTCCCAAATTAAAAGACAAGAGACCCATGAACTAACGGTAAATTGATCTTCGGATATTTGTCCACTTTTACACTGCTTTGGAGAACATCGTTGGAAATACAAGACGTTTGTTCCTTTATTTTAGCAGTTGCATATGTATAAAGAGGCTATTCAAAGTGTCGACTCCGTGCAGAAATGCAAGCACTGCATCAAAGTTTCACAAATACACTCCAAAACTTGGTGCAAAACAAACATCGTTCGCACCAATCGCAAGCCACAGCAACTGCACAGACACATTCATCTTTTCCGTGAATAATTTTACTGAAATGAAAATAATAAAACAGTGTCTTCAAATTCCATATATGCATCCTTTCACCGAATAATTTAACCGAGATATAAATAATAAAATAATACTATCAAATTCAATATTTTTACTGTTCTGTATTCGATCTGCCCGTTTCTGTCCTAAATGTATACAATCCACCGGCCAGCTATAAATAAGTAGACGAACAAAATCTGTTATAAAACAGTTACATATTTTATCGATATTAACAAATAATGCCGCAACGATTCTACTATCTCCGTTTTTAAATGGGGAGATTTTGAAATCTCCCCTGCTTTAAAATAGGTCACATATGGGAATGCGGTCGATTTATGTGTATCATGTGACAGGAAATTTTGAAATAAAGGGAAGATAACACTTGGGACCGCAAAGGGTGAACGATCCCGCACACGTTCTCGAAGTTTTGACATTTAATTTGTGGACACCCCGTGTATATCTGTCTCCGACGATGTGAGTGCGCGGATCCGCGCGCGCGCGCCCGCGCTAATACCAGCTTGATTCTGGCGTGCACGTAGACGCACGCACTCATAGCGAGGGAGAAGCGATGACCGGCTGGCTGCGACAGGCTGCAACTGCAACTGAAACTGCGCCGGTCATCCCAGCCATCCGGTGCACCTGCACCGGATCTCGGACGAGCCACTACGTGCACGCCGCCTCCTACGCCCACGTAAGTTGATGATCACGACGGGATTCGCGATCCGCCGCAAGCTTCACCCCCTGATCCATCGATACCCACAGTTTCGCCACTCGGATTCAGTCTGACCGACTCCGTAAACATGGAGAAAGCTGACGATGTTGCATAAGTGATTTTTCAAGAATGAAATTTGGTAATTGCAAGGTTCGCGTAGTGATTAATTGACACGTTCGCTGCATGATTACAACGCTCCAGATACTGACAATCTGAAAGTAAATGAAGGAATACGAGACCGAAAAGTTAAAATTGATGAAAGTAGATCTAATAGTTTTAGCATCGGTCCAGCAACTTCAAAGATTGCTATGCTATCTCGCAGGAGTTCTATCTTACATCAATTTTCTGTCAAAAGTTCTTTCATTTTGACGCAAACGATCTTTGACGAGCATAAAAAACAATGGACCAAGCAAATATTAAGTTTTCTTCGTAATTAATTAATTTCTAGTTGCCTTTATGACTATGTTTATTGCGCAGAAATTTTGTGGTATCGACATAATAATCATGTTAATGAAAATTATATTATTTAAATAATAATATGTTCCGCTAAACGCATTGTATTGAATCACCTACTAGTAACGGAAAACAGAAATGTTACGTAAAACTCGCGGTTATATCACAAAAATGAGGTCATTTCGACGTCGCTGTTAGGTTCGTTCGAATGTCTTCAAAGTTTTGCAGGTGTACACTAGAGGACTGTACGCGAAGTTTCAACTTCGAGAACCAGTTCGAACTATTTCGAACTCAAATTTATTGTTCCGAATAGTTTGAACTGCGAATTGCACCGACTGATTTCGGCTATGTGTGTATACTTTATTCTCTAAATATTGTTCGAATGCGTGCGGATAAAAATTCGCGTAAAATCGCAAGCATACCGTTAACCTAACAAAAGAAAGAACAATGGAGCTCGTGCATAAATGAAATTAGCGGATTGAGCGAAATCCCTTCATTGGCTTTCTTTCGTGATTCAGGGACCGAAATGCGAAGAATTTCGACCACGTGGTAGACTGCAATTATTTCGTTACCACTCTCGGCATTTCGTTAATCCGCCGTAATCCGACCGGGCTCTTCGCTCGTAAATAAATGAATAAATAAATAAATAACTACACGGCGCGTACACGAGCCCCGTTAACACTGATTAATAATGATTATGCGCTCTTCGCGCACCATATCATCACATTAACCGGATCGCAATTAATGCGAATCGGGTTGACACACTTTTTCCCTTTCCTCGACGCGTCTTCGTAATATTTTATTTGGATACAATTGATCCAATCATTGCAACAAAATATATCTCTGCAATTTCCGTTGATTTAATTTTTTGAGATATTTTCGCGTTTACCTGTTAATTGTGTAAATTGCAACGAAACAAGAATTGTTCGATCGTGACAATGAATCGTTAAAAAACATCTAGACATAAAACTCACACCTATGTTCAACGATTTAATCCGTTTTGTCTAACTTCGAAGTCACATGCCTATTTACCGTGCCTAATTTCTTTTTTAACCACAATGTTGCAAAAATATCTTGTTCTGCTGTTTCTTTTGTTCAAATATTACTTCATACATCCGAGAAAATGAAACCTCTTTAAATTTGTTAACTTTGTAATTTGTATGCAAAGATTAATATCTCCTGGTTTCCAGTTATATTTTTATATTAACGAACAAAATTTTAACTGTAGACGAAAGCGATAAAAAGCAGAATTAATTGTACAGACTAATAAAGAATTCAAACAAAGATATAAGTCTATAACAATTCCAATCAAAACGTTGCAAGACATCGCAGCTGCGAAATAATTCGCAGAATAACAGACTCGTTAATAATATAAAAAATCGTGATTAGCAATTCACCATGTTGTAAAGAGCAGAAGCAAGCGTCGCCGGAAGCTCGCGGAATTTTATCGAACCCCCGTCGAACTTGATTATGCGAGCTTACACGGTGCGAAGACGGGTTACTTGCGATGAGAGTATTGGATGCGAACCACCGGAAACAATTACGAGACTCTGGTTAGGTTCATAGAATTCGCGTGATGACGATGATCGTGCGGCAGCGAATTTCCCGCTTCAGATCTCGCGCGTGCTCGTCAGCGGTCCCCGAAGATCAGGGAATGAGACCAGAGAGGTTTCACGACTGTCAGAATCGCTCGTAAACCTGTAGTTTCCTCGACTATGCCGGCTGGACTCGTGGAGTATCTCCACTAATCGGAAACATTTTCGACGATTTTAGAGCCATTCGCAGCCATTATCAATTTTTACGATAGTTTTGGAGGTGATTCTGTGGACCTGTTGGTCGGTCTTCAACCATTCGTGACGTCTACAAGCTTGCCAGACATGGACGACGTTGCCGCAATTGCATTTCAGAGTTGACGCACGTCCTAACAAACGTTTAACACGTCGACTGTCCCGTCAACAACCTCAGAAATTGCACGAAATTGAAGCATTTCATTGCGTCAAATTTGTGCATTGAAATTGACGTTATCAATTTCTGTTTATTGTCAAAATGTTAACTACTGTTTGCAAGGTTGTCCATAAGAAATCGTTCTTAAATCAGCTTTCCAATCAATGAAACGAAGTGCAGGTCCGAAAAGCTCGAAAAACTTCACG